TGGGAAATAGGGCTGGGTTTGGATTTTATAATCCAGCCTACAACTCGACCCGTCTCAAATAAATTTCAATATTTTTTATTAAATTCAATATAATGAAATAATAATAACAACATTAATATTAATAGTAATAAAAAGGACAATGTTATTTCAAACTATCATTATGAAGAAAAAAATGAATTATGAGTATATTTAATAAAATGAAATATATTTTTATTATCATGTATTGTCCATTACATATCACACTTTGATAATGGTATTCTAATAAATAACATTGTATTGCGTACAACGTACATAGTAACAATATCAAACAAAATATATTTTATATATTAGTTGTTCTTTTATTTACTCGTTCTTCTCTTTCAACGGTGACTGTAGGGCTAGCATAGACGGACCTGCGGCAATATTGGTGAGAGCTGTCGGCGGAGGGATCCAAGGCAGCATTGAGGCGGGCGATAGGGGAAGATGTAGGGGTGGTGGGTGCTAGCACTCTAGCAGTGGGAGCTAGGGCAGTGGTGGGGTAAAATGAAGAAAAATAATGAATGAAATGGTATAAGTAAATTAAATAGATTTTTAAATAATTTTTGAATTGTGAAGAATGTATGGAGAGGAGTAAATGAATATGAAGAAGATAGATGTCTATGTTTGTTAGCTTTGGAGATAATCTAAAAAATTCATTTAATCAAATTAAAGTTGTGCGCAAATTGTAGTAGAGGACTATATGCTAGTGGACAGGGGAAGGGAGCCTCCAAATTCTGCCTCCGTACTAATAATGTTTTTGTTTTTTGTTTGTACTTTGTACCTTTCCTTAAATTATTTTTTTTTTATTTTGACCGAATATAGGCTCTGCTAGACTTCAATAATAATAATTTTTTTTATAAAAAGTAAAAACTTTGTGATTAATATTTATATACAGAGTATATTTGGAAGAAAAACTTTGTAGTATATCTTCATATATATTCTGGATTTTTAACTTATTAGAATATTGTTACTGATTAAGAAAAAAATTAAATCCAACACTCCTCCCAAAATAAATCTCACGTGAGTAATTTATTTGCGAGTGCTCTTAAATGTTACGGAGTAAAACACATGAAGGTCTCGTTTGGCATCAGCGTCAGAGATTAGCGTTATCGTTTTGAAAAAGCTATCCGACGGTAGTCTTTAGCGTTAGCGTTTTCAGAATTAATCTGCATCGTTAAAATTTTATCCAAAACGCTAACGCTAATCGAAAACATTGTTACCAAACAAAGCCGAAATTATTATTGTCCCCACTAAATTCTAACTTTTGACCTCTAATTTAGAATAAAAGATACAACGGTGTATTTGGAAATTCGAACTCAGACATCAATTCCGGATTTGGCTCAAAAACCATGCTTGAAAAATCTTAGAACTTTGGGTTTGAATTTGAGATAAATTCCTCAAATTTATTAGAGAGCTAAATTGCAAATTCACATGTCTTTTCTTATCATTTGAAATTTAGAAATCACCTTAAATAGGACTAAAACATACAGAAAAGTATCAAAATAAGATTTTTTATATTTTTATTCACGAAATAAGACTGTGTACCATGGTAATGTGGCACTATACATGTGCATATTACTATACTTTTTGGTAATGTGTATGACCATGTTTGGTAATATAATGCATTTTAAATCCTATTTCGAAAATAAAAATATGGAAGTCTTATTTTAATACTCCGTATATTTTCAATGTTTTAAACCCACTTTAATATCTTTTTCCATTGAAATCCAAGAATTTAAATTTTAGAATTGAAATCCAAGAATTTAAATTTTAGAATTGGAATGTAAAAAATAAAATGAATTGAAACATAATGAAAAAAGAGTCAAATAATTTGAATTGGGAGAAGCCAATAGAAATGGAGTAGAAACAAATTCAAAATAACACCGACTCTTATCCTTTTTGTAGGCTACAAGAAAATGTTCGCGGGAGCTATTACCCGACCCATTGCCTTCCTACATAAAGTTTGTTGAGTAGCCATTTTTTGTGTACTCCTTCCCCTCTTTTAACATTATTTTTAGATTGTCTTTATCGAATCGCTGAAATTATTGTCAAAGCGTAATGAATTTTTAAATATACTTTAGACTTTTGAACGTTAGTATACAAAAAATTTAATATGTCACTATCATAAACTTCTGTTTTTGGTTGAGTTGATTCATTAAAATGATGTCAGAGCTTTGTTGACTAGGAAGTCTCGGGTTCGAAAGTTAGCCCCATCCAGTTTTTATAAAAATGAAAGTTTCATGTATAAGTCTCGAAAAAACTAGGACTGCATGTGAATGAGCATGCTAGAATATAAAAATGCATTTTTCGGGTCACAAGGACATCGAGGTCCAACTTTACGAATTTTGACCCAGAAAATTCTGACAATTTTTTTTATCTTGCATTTCTATCAAAACACTAAATTTACAAACTTTATTCAAATAAAAAAATTAAATCGAACAGGGAGTAATTGCTTATTTTATTACTCGATACCTTATCAATTAGCATCAATAATTGTAGACATGTCAAGCTTTATATATACTCCCTCGTTCTCAATTTGATTACAAATTGTGGGTTAGGAGAAAAAAAATTCTCACTCTTTAAATCATTTTATTTACAAATTGATATAAAAATTACATATTAAAAAACTACGTCAAAAGTTCTACAAAACAAGAGATGATAAAAATATTTTATTATATCAAATACTTATTTAAATCTCGTAAATATATAAAAATTATCGAGAGAAGAAAGAAAAAAAGTCGTAATCAAAATAAGGAGGGTGATAGAATTCAGGATGGGTGTGGACAACTGGATTGAGTAATAAGACACTTGGGCTGAACCACATTAAAAGATTGAATCCAATCGATTAGTTAGTTTAACTTAATCGATTAGTAAGTTTAACTCAAGAGCTTATATACCGATTATTTTCCTCACATTTTTCCGATGTGGGATAATCTTAACACTCCCCCTCAAGTGGACAACCCGGTCATTTTGAATCTAACCGCTTGACCACTTGCAAATGAACTCCCATTCCCTTGACTTTTTTTTAACGCCAACACCTAAAGGACCACGAGCCGCTGGGTATGGATTTCCAGACGAGCAATCGTGTTAAACGGGTCACAGACCGTTGAGTACATATATACTCCATACGGACAACTGGGCTAAAGACTAACGGGCTGCTAGGAATGAACGTCTAGACGGACACCTTGACAAACGAGGTGGGCCAAAACCTACTTTGATACCATGATAAAATTCGGAATGGGTATGGACAACTGGATTGAGTAATAAGACACTTGGGTTGAACCACACTAAAAGATTGAATCCAGTTGATTAGTTAGTTTAACTCTAAAAGCTTATATACCGATTATTCTCTAAAGAGAGGGAGAGAGTATTTCTTTTCTAATTTTAACGTTAAAAAATGGAATAGATAAGTGATAGCTCATATATAGACACCTGCCCATTCAGTACGACGTCTATATATATCTATAGCCGTAGTGTATGTATGTTCGTACGGAATATAATCATACGATGGGAATTTGCACTTCTTCTCACGTGGTGGGATGGCCTAGTGGTGGAAGATCATTCGTGCCCAAGCCTTCCACGGCGGCGGCGGTGGTGGTCAACGAGAACGGGGAGGTGCAGGAACGTCGGCGGCCGGTGAAAGCGGCCGACGTTCTGTCGGAGAATCCGAACTGCTTCCTCTCCAACTCGGAGTCGATGAGCGTCGACTCCGAGATACCTCAGGTGCGGGGAGACGAGGACCTCGAGATCGGGCAGCTCTACTTCCTCCTCCCCGTCTCGAAGGCCCGCTCCCCGCTCTCCCTCCAGGACATGTGCAAGCTCGCCGCCAATGCCAGCGCCGCCCTCAACGGCTATTTCTCTCCGGTCGCCGGAGCTGTTTCCCGCCGCCGGGGACTGGGCTTTGACTGTGCGTTGTAACAAAATTTTATTAGTACTGCGTACGGGAAGGGATCAAATAGCGTAAGACCCGAATAATTACATATTTATATCGACATATATATGGTTGAATTTATGTTTTAATATGAAGTGCGCGCCTTTTATTTATTCCTTTGTTTTATGGGAACAAGAATATGGCAGGGTTGTAATTATAATAAAAGTACTCCTGTATTTTTTTTCTTGAGTAGCACATGTATATACTATACATGGCACGTATATTTTTGGTCTTATTTTTAAGAAATATTTCATATTTTTACATATAACGACTTTAAAAATGTATTTAAATATGATGAATAAAAAAATAATATTATATACTCAAATTTATAACATACCACATTAAATATAAGCAATTGTGAATTCTTTTTATTCAAAATTAGATTACGTGTTCTTACGTATGTACTTATGTGATCATTTAATTGAGTGGTTTTTGAACAATTTAAATTCTTCCAACTTTTTCTAATTTCTTTCCATTTTTTCAAACTATTACTCCCTCCGTCCCAAATTATTTGCCACATTTGTTTTTTCAACAGTCACGGAAACTTTTGTTTATTTTTATGTTTTTATTGGTTATTTAATAAAATAAAATATTCTTGACACCTCTTATTTCGAAAAACTTTTCATGTAGTTTTTTTATATATAATTTTTATTTTTTATTTTTTTACCAATATGTAAATAAAATGAATTGAAAAAATTTGATATTTTATCTCGATAATAGAAATGTGACAAATAATTTGGGACGGAGTGAGTACTAATTATTTTTCCAAAATCCAATTCGGAAATTCTAACCGAAAAGAACAAAGGTTAAGAATGTAGAAATATAAAGCACTAAACAACGGATAACACTCCTTCAAAAAAACAACGGATAAGACAAAAATGTGTTTGGACCAAAATCTCATACGCCTATGAAGTGGGCCGAGAGACTCCTATGCCAACATTAGTAAATTCTTCATAGTTCTATTTGTGAAACTTTTAAACCCTCAATAGATATTGGTGTTGATTGATTTAATCCATCTTTGCATTGGTATGTAAAAATACATAATGTAATATCTGATAATAAATATAAATAATATGATGAACATGTGATATTTATGTGGAAACTTAAACCGTAAAAGTTCACGAGTTCGGTATCATGCCAAGTGGACAATTTATTATAGATTGGAGAGTATTTGTGTTATATATGGCTCAATTGAAACGGCTAGGTTCAATGACCACTCGTATTGGATAGCCACGAAAGCCACTGTCACTCTACGGAGCTCCATTCGTAAAATCTATAGCTCAATGGTCACTCGTTTAATTGACTTTATAGTAAAAAGATTTTATTTAAATTCAACTAAATTTGCAGGATGCATTTGACATGGATGGGGTGATGGGTTGGAGTCGGGACCGAATAGGATGGTTTATCATGAGAGTTAGGTGATATGAACCATCAATTTTACGAACGGAGTGTGACCTCCGTGACCACTGAAAAGCAGTGGTCATAGAACCGACTTGCAGCTGAAAACACTGAAGATGATGATATGTGAAAGATATGGTCCTACATGTGGATCTCATTTGACAAATCATCTTCGTGGTAAATGTGTCATATTTACACGAGAAGAAGAAATACTAGAGTTAGGATTTTTTCAATAAGCTTCTCTCTTGACTAATCTAATGTCCATTGTTCTGATCTCCATCAGCTCTATTTGTCTTCCATTGGATCTTTGGCTAAGTCTCTCTCCTTTTGAATTGAAATTTTAAATTTGAATCTTGGAAGAAATTAAAATGAGTAAGAAGAAACTAAGGGGGGTGTATTCAATATGGATTATGTAGTATTTTTTTGGATTTCAAAAGTCTGTGGATATTCAATCCCGATTTAAAAAAGTCATTTAAAATCTGGAAGTATTCAATTCAGATTTTAATATATCCTTCTAAATATAATGGTATTCAAAAATCAATTGATTTTAAAAGATTTCTATAATATATGGATTTTGATGGATTTGAGGCTTTAGGTATAAATTAAAATTCAAGTCCAAAATCTCACAAAAAATGCAAAGATTTTGCAAATCCACGCAGGGTTCGTCTCCTTCACCATCTAGCCTCCAACCTTCCCTGGCAAATCCTTCATTGAATACTTCCGATGGCAGCAGCTCGACGTGGAATACTTCTGATGGCGGCGACTCGAAATCCTTCATTGAATACTTCCAATGGCGGCGACTCTTCAATTCCACGCAGGGTTGTTCCGTGCCCCCATCTCGCCCAATCTTCATCACGATGGCGGCGACTCGACGTGGAGCCACGATGACGGAGACCTTGAAATAGGCAGAGGAAAGGACGAAGATCGAAGAAGAGAGAGAGAGGCTAGGGATTCTAGGGAGGAAGAAGGGAAAAAAGAAAAGAAAAGAAAGGAAAGAAAATATAGAAAGAAGAGAGATGGAGGAAGAAGGGGCTAGGGTTTCTGGGGAGGAAGAAGGGAAAAAAGAAGAAAAAGAAAAAATTGAAAGAATGGAGATGGCGGAAGAAGGGGCTAGGGTTCATGGGGGAAGGAGGAAAAAAAAGAAAAAAAAAAGAAAAAAGAAAAGAAGAAAAAAAGAATAAAAGAAAAGTAAAATATAATCCTATAAAATTCTTTCATAAAATACATTAAAATTTAGCTAACCCTGCGTAAACTTAAAACAATCCAATGAACTTACAGAATCTATGGATTCTAAATAATCTATCAAAATCTTGTTAAAAAAATGTTGAAAGAATTAGGATCCGTTTGGTACACGGAATTCAAACTATGAAATTGATATTGAGGACATCAATTCTACTTCTGGTGTTTGGTAGCACAAAGCTTATGTGGATTTGGAATTGATAGTGCAAAAAATGAATTGGAATTGGTAGAATTCAATTCTATGGAATTGAATCCCATGAAATTTCAATTTCAATTCAATTCCAATTCCGTATACCAAACAGACCCTTATAGTGTTAAAAGTTACTCAATTAAATGACTATCCAAATAAATATTCCGTATATATGAAAATTTTAGTTTTGAATAAAAAAGAATTCATCTTTCTTTGTGTTTGAAGTCGTATGTTACTCCGTATAAATTTGGATTTATCATTTCATTCTATATTCATCATTTATAATTTATAAATAAGTTTTTAAAATTGTTGTTGGAAATACTAGAGGAAGATAGAAAAAAATTAAAAAGAATTGAAAAACAATTAAAATTAATTTTTCTAAACTAATAGAATATGACCTAATTCTATAAAGGAAAATGCTAGGGGTACACCTTCCACCAAAGGTGTACCCCATTTGTCCCTCACCCCCTCCATAACCACTCAAATAATCAAGAAAATTAAAAAAAATAAATAAATAAAAATTAAATACAAATGAGTGGTTATGGAGGGGCGTGGGACAAATAGCATCTCCCTTCATAAAACTTGGTAAGTGGACCGAGGAATTACGATGGATATCTCATACCTTATCCAGAGAGGTATCTGGTACGGTCCATGAAATAGTACATCTAAAACCATGATCAGAGCCCATTTACCAGGCAGGCCTTTTATTAGTCAGATGGGAATAGTCACTCACCTCAATTGCCTTAAATGAGAACCCTCAGGCGTTGTCCCGTTGGCAAGGCAAAAGGTGTTAAGGTATAAGACCCGAGTTCGATTCCTAACAACTCTAAGTACTAGGTATAGATTCCGATCCACTCTTTGCCATCAATCTGTAATTAAAGTCCAATTTATCTTGACATGGTATCCGAGCCTTATTAATTAAGAGGTCATAGGTTCGAAACCTAGCGCCACCTAGTTTTAAAAAAATTAAAGTTTCGCGTGCAAGGTACGAAAAAAACTACGCTTGCATGTGAAGGGCGTGTTAGAATATAAATAACTTCTCCTGGGCCACAACCACAAGTTTGAGCTTTTAGTTGAATTGGTTCCTTGACAGATGGGCTCATCCTTAAATGAGAACCCCCGTCAGATTGAAATATTTTAGAAAAAATCTCGAAAAGGATTTATTCTGATAAGATATTTTTTTCAAATTTGTATCCAATAAATAATAATTACTAATATGATTTTTTGGTATTGAGATGTATTCACTAAATAGTCTTTTATCGAAATGTATATTAAATGTTAGTCAAATGCAAAATATTTTGGTATTCTCTATCATCGAGACTTAAAATATGTTCTCAAAATATTCTTATAATTAAATATATTTCCAAACTAATAAGTTCTGAATAAATATTTTCTCGAAATGGAGTCCATGAGCCTACTTGGGGTGAGTCTGTTCCTCTAGCAGTCACCCACTTAATTTGAAATGACTAATTTGAACATTTATTCATAGTTTAGATGATAAAAATGCAAAAATACTCCCCATTTAGATGTCATTTAATAATAAACATTTTTGACATTTCAATTACAAAGAATCACATTAGTAAGTACTCCGTATAACTTATTGAGGACTATTGGGCTAATTTAGAAAATCATCTTAATAAAAAAGATAATTTTAGAAATTTACTCAATATTTTAATATACTCTGAAATAATTTTAATTTGAATGTGTAATGTAAATAAAATTTTTCGCATTCATATAACACACCATTAAATTCTTTTTTCCATCAAACAAAGAAGTTTGAAATTTATGTGTACCTCCGTCACTTATGTTTTATTTTTCTATAACACAGTTTCTTTCTCACTTACAAAACTAATAGGAAAAAAATATAGGGTAGAAAAATATACTACCTCCCTTCCACAAAACCCTTTCGGTTTTGACTTTGGAGAAAAATAAGAAAAGTGTAATTTTGGTTGACTTTCCAATTTTGCCCCTGATGTGATGAGAAAAAGTAAGATGTGATAGTTTGGTTATTAGTGAAAAAGTATGATGTGATAGGTAGAGTATGAAAAAGTAGGGGTAAAAGTGGTTTTTTAATAGAAAGTGGCAGTGTTTTGTGGAAAGCAAAGAAAATGAAAGAGGAAGAGTTTTGTGGAACGGAGGGAGTATGATGATCAACAATAGAACTTTTTAATGGAAACCTCTCTCAGCTCGATCCAATAAAGGAAAATAACTTATGATTCTTTGAGATTAAATTTTTTCACTAGAACAAAAACACAACACTAATACAATAAAAAAAATATTTTTATAACAATTAAAATTGAAATATACTCATAAATCCTATTTAAGATCGATCACTGATAAGCATTTTTTTAGTATTTAAAAAAAATATTTATTATTTCAAATAAAAAGCAGATTTTTTTATGTTTGTAAGAAAAATCCACAAAATTGATATGTATCCAAGATGCTCCAAAAAAGCACTCTTACTGGCGAGGGATTGAAAATACAGGTGATTTATAATACTATTTCCGTCCCAATACTTGTTTAATTTTGACTTTTTCGTGTCAAACAATACGAACTTTAAACATTTACGGCTCTCTATTTGTATCACGCATTACTAGAACAAAATCAAATTATTAAAGTTCTGAACAAGATAAATGTAACAAAATTATTTTCACATTAATATACTACAATACATTTTTTATTTATTTCATCGAGATTTTAAAATTCATCCAATTTGATTCAAAAAAATTAAACTGGACAAATATACTGGAAATAAGAACAACTCGAAAATGACTAAATTGCCAAACCATGTATCGGGAGATTAATTATACATAGAATACCATAATGAGAATGGGATTAAAGTTAAAAATAATAAAAAAAGCATGGATATATGAATTTCTTAAATAATGAATAATATTAGGTCTCCTTGAATTCATTGTCATGCATCTCGGACTTGATAGCGGCAACCAGGTGGTCATAGGCCACTCCCCACGCATCTTTCATTTCCTCATTCCACATTTCTTCTGGCACTGCTTCTTTTATGGTCTCCAATAATGCATACCTTGTCACCTGTAATTATATTAATTTTATTATGTTATTGTTATTAAATTATTTAATTCTTATTATTATTAAATAATAATTATTTATAGTTTACCAAATATGGTTGCTACTATGAAATACCTCAAAATGAGCATCAGTGATGCCGTACTTGAAGTGCGTGGCGCCCAACTTCTTCAAACTCGATTCCCCCCGCCCTACCGCTTTTCCGGCTTTCCTCAGCTCCACCGCCGCTTGACACGTCTGCACACACCCACCCGCTCACATAAGTGTCATGTACACCAAAACGGGTTACTCCACAACTGTGTTTGCCTGATGTACAAATGTGATACCCCATTTTAGTGTTGTCCCTAGATTTATTCAATTAATAAATACACTTTTTAAAGAATTTTATATCGGGTCGGGTTTGAACTAGAGGGATCAAGTCAAACTTTCTCTCCTCCAAAAAAAATTCACAGTTCGATTTTTTTGTCTTTAATCTGTGTAATATTTTGATAAAAAATTATTAAAAAATATATCTCGTATTTAAATCCCGTATTAAAAATTATTAAAAATGAAAGTGGACAAAAACTGAGGGACGGAGGGAGTAAGTGTCATGTACACCAAAACGGGTTAGTCCACATCTATGTTTGCCTGATGTACAAATAGGATACCCCATTTTGGTGTATTGTTAAGAGTATCCCACATCGAAAAAGTGTGAGAAAAATAATCAGTATATAAGCTCTTGAGTTGAACAAACTAATCGATTGAATTCAATCTTTTAATGTGTGCTTCAACCCAAGTGTCTTATTTTATATACCGATTATTTTTCTCTCACTTTTCCGATGTGGGATACTCTTAACATGTATCTCTAGATTTATTTTAAAAAAACTATACTCCGAGGTAGACCTGGCAAAAAATGACCCGACCTGTTTTTGACCCGAAACCCGACCTGAAAACACTGGGTTTTGAACAATGGTTTTGATGACCGAACCTGAAGTTGACCGAACCCGAAATGACCCGCTAAAAATGGGTCAAACCCGACCGAACCCGAACCCGACCTGACCGACCCGCTAAAGTAAGAATTTTTCAAAATCATATACTTTACTACTCGTTTTTAGCGTACAAATTTATATTTGCAGAGAAAATTTTAATGATATTGCATAATTATCTTACTTTTTTCCAAAACTTAAGCATTTTTAAATTCTTTATATTGATTTATATATTTAAAAGTTACTTCAGAGTTTAAAATAAATCAATTTTATAGATTTAATACATTATTTTTGATATTTTAAATTTATTTAATAGAAAATCTAAGTGGTAATGTGAATTTAAAAATTTTAAAAATCAAAGTTATAACCCGTTGGGTCGACCCGAACCCGACGATACTGGGTCATGAACATACAGTTCTCAACCCGAACCCGAATTGACCCGAACTTGAAGTGACCGAACCCGAACCCGACCTGACCGACCGATTTGCCAGCTCTACTCCGAGGTATTTAATTTGTGGTTGCCGGTTAAAGTGTTTCACTTCCTCTTTCATTTTTTCCACTTCCAACAAAACACTTCCCATTTCTATTAAAAAACTACTTTTACCCTTACTTTTTCCTACCCTACCTATCACATCATACTTTTTCTCTAATAATCTATCCATCACATCTTACTTTTACCCATCACATCAGGGGCAAAATTGGAAATTAACTATAATTTAACACATCCTTATTTTTGCCCCCAAATCAAATGGGAAGAGTTTTTTCAAACGGAGGAAGTATAATTTTCTAAATATAAATATGGATGGTTAATTAAAGTAATTAACTCTTAATATAAAAAGAAGAAAGTAATTAACTTAAAAAAAGGGTTGAAACTTGAAATCACATACCATCACAAAGACGGTTTTGGCGTGCGCCTTGAGCTTTGGGTTTTGGCTGAGGGGAACCTCTCCGGCGTCGCCGCCGCCGCCGCTCAGAAAGGAGAACAGCTTCTTAACCGACGGTGCGATTTCAAATATCCTGCAGACAAATAATTATTAAGAAAAAAAAACCATTATAAATTTATACTCCGCATGGTATAAATCACAAAACAAATTGATTTTAATTTTGATTTTTTTTAAAAAAATGATTTAATTTAATTCGATCTAGACAGGTAATAGGATGATTTATAGGCGGATCCGGGGCAGGGGGAGAACGAAGATAGGCAGTGAAACGACGGCGTATGAGCGAGGAGCAAGCACTTGCCGGAGGAAGAGTTTGAGGCCCAGATCGCCGGCGTCCTTCTTCATCAAGCCCCACGACTTGAGCACCAGAGCTTCCTGTTCCTCTGTGAAACTACTCATCCTTTCTTTATAAGTTTAAATTTATTATGGCTTCCCTTTCCTTTGATCGATCTCTAATGGAATTTCTCAACTCTTTTATACGAAGTGAGAGGGCAGCCCGCTGCCCGCCACACCATTATTGACCTTTCACAGATATTGCATCGGAATTCGGAATAGGGAGGGGTAAAATGGCCCTTGAGCTGCCGGAGAGCCAATCTTTTTCAGCTGTTCTTTTTAGAAAGTTTAAAAAAGAGAGACCATGACCCATTTGGTTGTGGTCAGGTGGTAAATGTGTATCGCTATTCGTGAGATTTTAAAACACGCTCATTATCTCTCATGATTCTAATATTACTACGTCAATGTCCTTCTAGATTAAAATATTCTTCAAATATTATGCGAATAGCTTCACTGTTCCTATGATTTTGAAAATTAGAATAAACGCCTCCTCTTTTCTTCTTTTTTGTTCATTAATTTTCTATCGTTTCTTTTATTATAATCCATAGTAAAATAAAAGAAAAAAAAATAATGAAAAAAATACTTTTATAGATTATGAGAAATTCAGTTATGAAGGAAATGTTTTGCACATTGTTCCAAAAAATGTTAATAATATATAATTAACTATATACTAAAAATGCCTTACTCTGTGTTCTTTTGGTCATGACATATTAAAAAAGATAAAAAAAAGACAAAAAAGGATATATTTAATTTGACAAATGAAGTACTCCCTCCGTCCCAAAAAGATCGTTACGTTTCATTTTTTGCGCATCCCTTAAAATACTTTTATATCGTCTCAAATGCCAAAAAAACTTTCAAAACAATTTCATCTTATAATAAAGAGTAAATATGGTAAATTTTAGAATTTTTAGGTGTGAGTAGCATTGCTTTTTGTGATGCGCAAAGAAATGAAATGTAACGATCTTTTTGGGACGGAGGGAGTATATGTTAAATTTTTTATTTTTTTATTTAAAACACAAACATTCTTTTTTAAACTTTTTTTAAATGTAGGTTTGAAAAACAATTTTTCATTATTCCACTCACAAACATTTTTCTTCTCTTTATGAAAAAAAAGAATATACAAAAGAAAAACAATAAAGAAAAAAGAGAGGGGGCATTTGCACCCATTTCAACCATAGGGGGCAAAGAGTTATTCATCTAATATTTGAAGGATGCATTTGTCCAGAAGGCATTGGCGTAGCAACATCAGAACCATGTGGGGCAACAGTGTAAATTTTGAAACTATGAAGGGTAACGATGCATATTTATCAAACCACATGGGGTGTTGGTTCAATAAACTCATAAAAGAAGGAAAAAACTATAAAAACACCAATATAAGAGTTAAAAACTTTTAACACCAAAAACAAGAGTTCATATTACCCATGGTTACCTTGCCACACTTACCATTGTCACACTGCAACTGTCATACAGTAATTTGTTACCATCGGCCACCAAAGTGTTGTTGTCAATTGTTGACGGTACGATTGATTGATTACAAAACCATACTAGGGATAGACTCTTCTATATCATTGTCATTATACTTTTATAGCGTTTAATTAACTTCAATATTTCATCACACTGCCAATGCATACTCTTTGTTCACACTTCCTTTAAACTTATATTTTAGTCTTAAAAGACTTAGAACTCTTACCTCGATATTGTAATGTTTCTTTACTTTTATCAAGGTTTTTAATTAAAACAATAGTCATAGATTAACTTTGAAAATATTGAAGTCAATTAAACGCTATATTCACATTATATTTTGAAAATACTCGGGGTATTAAAGTTAACCGTCAAATCTATTATCAAAATTATGAATTTTAATTATAAAATGTCAAATTAGAAAAATATTTTAAAAAGAGAGGTAAAATATCTAACATGTTACAATACTTGACTAAAGTTATTTTCCAATCATTTTATATTAAAAGTAATATGAAATATAAAAGTAAAAATTACATATTTAAAAATACATCAAATGATCTACAAAACTATGAGTGACATGTCTATAAAACAACAAAATTAGGCAAAAAATATTAACAGAATTTAATTATGTTAATAATGGATAAGAATAATTTTTGGACGAGATGAGTATGATATGGACCTAGCTAATTAAAATGCCACAAGATAAAAAAAATTATTTGAGGAGATACCAAAATAGTGACACTAATTTAACCTTCAAAATAGTGAAACTACTTTAACTCCATGAATTATACACACAAACATATACTTTCCTAATAACTTTAACTCTCCTAACTTTGAAAAAAGGTATGCGAGACGCCACACCATTCACATTGCACGGAAAAGTTTCACAATGTTGTTGGCCCTTGAAGTGCTTCGAGAGCCAGCTTTTTTAATAAAGACGGTGAATAACGGCGGCTCCGTTTAATAGGTCTGCTCCATTAAATTTGATTTGAATTTTTAAAAGATTTGTTGGGTATTAACTATTGTTTTTACCAACAAAATATTTTTGGTCATTTTTTCTAAGATAAAATAAATTATTCATGTAAGTAAAGATTATCCAAAACAAGGACTATAAAACAAGGAATGATATTAGTACGATTGTTTTCTTAGAGTATGTTTGGGTAATGAGAGAAATGGAAAGAAAGTAGGAGGAAAGAAAATGAAAAGAAGAGAAAATGAAAAGAAAAGTAAAAGAAAATAGTTATTGTTTGGATGAATAGAAAATAAGAGGAAAAGTAGGAGGGAAAAAATGTGATAAAATAAAATTACATTTGTATCCTTATTTAAATGGTCAAAAATGAAAAGGAATTGAACGCAAATGTGTCATTTGATTAGTTTTCTCCTCCATTGCAGTTTTCTCACCACTTTAGAGGATAAAATATTTTGGGGTGAAATTTATTTACTTTTCTTTCCTTGTTTCATTTTCTCTTTCAAATAAACAAGAGAAAATTCCTTGAATATTGCGTTTTCCCTTCTTCTGCTTTCTTTCTCTCCAATTTCTCCTCAGAGCATTGACAGGGGCAAGTAAAAAAATTGCCTCGCCCTGCCACGAGAGGAGAGCCGCTTCTGGCAGCAGCGTGGGAAGAGAGAGGAGGAGTCTGCCATGCGTGTTTGCTTTGCGAGGCACCCTGCTTTGCGAGGCATCCGCGAGGCAAATCCAAAGCCCTCCGCCACTGTTAGATCTGCAACCCCAGATCTACAACCCCAGATCTGCCCCTCCGCCATCCGCGATCTCCAATTTTTCCGTGCCACGCCTGACTTGCCATTGCAAAACCATGGAATGCCACACTCTTTGCACGCTTGATTTGATTGGTTGGAAGGTAACACGTCATCCCATGGCATTCCATTACAATACACGTCATTGTCAATGCTCTCATCTAAACACTACATTATTCTCCAAATAAATACTATCCTATTTTTATTTGAATTTCCAAAACAAACATCACTTCCCATTTAAAGAAAAAAAGCTTATGTGATTCTTTCTCCTTTATATAAATAAATCTTCCACATATAATTTTAATTTTTTAAAATCTGTGAAAGTCAAATCAAGAAATTTATTTTTGAATGTAATAATTGTGGCTAGTAGTTATCTAACATAGTGGTGAATGTAATAGTATATCAATGACAATGTAAATTTTATTTTTGATCTTAAAAAGTTATAACTCCTATTTTAAGTTTTCTTACTTTTTTTTGTTTAGAGTTCTCTCAAAATTTATAGCAGATTGGAGTAAATTAACTTTAATTGAAGGTCAAAATTGTGAAATTACTCCGACTCCATAACAGAATTGCCACCTGGAGTTCGTCGTTTCCCGCCTATAAGTCGTTAAGAAGACGGTTATAAAGTCCCCGGGCCACCTGCCCCCATCTCTCTGTGCGTCGGTATTCTCTACAGAATTCTGCAAATCCGAAATATCTCCTCTCTCTTTCTCTCTCTACCTTAGGATTCTCAGAAACCGCCATGGCGACCTCTCTGCGACCGCAAACACTCATCGCGATCTTCATCGCCGTCGCCATCTCTGCAGCCGCCGGCGCTGACTTGTCTCCGCCGCTTCCATCTTCATCGCCGCCGCAGGCATCTCGTCGCGGAGAAGAGGTTTACACGCCTCCTCTGGTCGCCACCATTCTGTTCACTCTAGGCTTCCAGGAGCTCTCTACGGCGGCCGTGAAGGCTAACATCTCCGCCGCGACTCCGATCACCATATTTGCTCCGGCGGATTCATCTCTGGCCACGTGTCCTTCGTGCTCTCTCCCGCTACTGCTGCAGGAGCACTCTGTTCCTGGACTCTATCCGCTCCATTTCCTGCGCAAGTTAGCGTCCGACACTAAGATCCAGACGCTGGCTGAAAATCGCTGCCTCACTATTACGACGACCGTCGGAGGAGTGCCTCGGGATCAGGATCCGGGGAAGGTTTTCGTCAACGGCGCCGAGATCGTCCAGCCGGACATCTTCCACAACGGCTTTATGGTGATTCACGGCGTCGAAGGCTTCCTCACTCACCTATCGGCGAAATCGTGCAACATGGAGGAGATGACTACCATGTCCTTCCCTCCTCAATCGCTGGTGTCCGCATCCGGTACCGGAACAATGATGATCTCTATCATGCGCCTTATGCAAAACGACGCCATTCTCCGTCTGGAGAGCATCGGATACAGAATCGTTGCTCTGGCGATGAAAGTCAAGTACGCAGAGATTTCGAGGCTGAAGACCATGACGGTGTTCGCTCTGGACGACGCCAATCTCCTCACCGGCAACGGATTGCTCTATCTATCCAATTTCCATTTCCACGTTGTTCCTAATCGGAGAATCCTTGCGTCGGAGCTGGTTACTCTGCCGAGCGGGACCGTTTTGCCCACCATGGACGGCGAGCATAAGCTGGTGGTGACAAATCCAGGCGGCGGAGGGGCACTGGTGCCGTTGAGGATAAACTACGTGAGGGTGACCACGCTTGATCTGCTCCACAACAGCCGGATCGTCGTCCATCAAATATCTGCGCCGTTCCCGCATATGATTGATCAGACTCAGTTTAGCGTTTCCCAGATTGCGCAGCCACTGTGCGATGTCAATTCCACCGATGCGGGGATATGTAACGTCGGCGATCATGCCGCTCCGGTTGGTGCTCCGATTCCGATGGATCCAGAACGCCGTTATGGCCTCTGAACTTCTTCACACATGGTTACGGTCCTTAATTGTGAGTCCCTAGATCGTTTATTTCTCTCATAGATTGAAACTCAACCACTCATGAACTCGATGGATCATCAATGTGAGTTGAAAACTTTCTGGTTTTACTGAGTGATATGCACTTCCACAAAATTTACTGTTCTGTTTTTCTGTGAATTAAACGAGGTCCTCCATGGATGAATTGAAATTTAATCCGAGTTTCAGGCACAAGAAATTTAATCTGCAATGGATATTCTTAATCTTTACTCACTTGATGTGTCTATTAGCTTGTGTTGCTGGCACTTCAGTCATTGCTATGCTTTTATGGAGTACAATTGAAGCTTCATGACTCAAATTAATTCAATCTTTCTATACATTCATTTCCTGCCAAAACACCAACAAAAATGTGGAAAACAGAGAGGTCAATTCCATGGCTTAGTTCTCTTTCATTCCAATAAATTTATATCTGTTTTTACTTTGATAGATTTGAGTCAAATTGCCCTTTTTGGAATGAATTACCTATAATTCGTTTGGTAATTCAGATAAAAGAACATGACATGGAAATTCATTTTAAAGGGGAGTTCAAAGTACGTAAAAAGTGTTAAAGTAATTAATTCCATAAAATTTTGTTAGTTATAAGGTTAAATTAGTTATTTTCTCATTTTTATCGATTTTGGAGCAGGCCAAGAGCGTATACATATTAGCATGGTTAAAAACCAAGGTCACACTAGCTAGACATTGGGTTACAAATGTGGAATTCATTTGTAAATTTTGTTTTAGTTTTGTAGAATTTCGTTGCAAAGATATCCACCATTTCAATCAAATAAATAAGATTAGAAATTTCAACAAATTTTACAATTTCATTTCGCAATACAATTATTATGGTACAAATGTACATTAATTTAGGTGCATAATAGATGTAATACGCGATTGCAATATTGCAATGGGCGGATGTGAATTAGTAATTTAGATAATAAGGTTACATACTCCTTAAAACCTCATAAACTGTATTAGTAATTTTGAAAATAAGTTTACATCATTTTTCATACTAATTTACCAAAAAAACATTTGATTTGAAAGTCGAGTTTTAAACAACTACCTTATAAACTAAAGTGGTCTAACTTTTACTACTCTAATACAATCTATTAAGCACGTTGAATTATTGTTGCACTAAATTTGAATCTATGACCTTCGATAAGACTACTCGTAATGCCCCAATTTGTAATAGGCACAATCCTTGTTGGCTAAACAAAGCTAGAGTGAAGCACACACTTAAAATACCGTACCATTCATGTTTATACGTGAGTCTTCTACCTTAAACAGTGAAGTGACCAAGGTCACAACAACTTTCCCATGTTCTTTTTGTTCAATTCCCCATCTTTCTTTTATTGTTCAATTCCCATTGTTTTTTATTGTTCAATTCTCATTCTTTTATTGTTGTTTTATTGTTCAACTCCCATGTTTTTTGTCTTTAATTTTTTTTCTATTTTGTGAAAAATCCTATTGTAACATCAATGGTTTTCAATTTTTTTCAACCTCTACTCCATCTTCTTTTGGTAATGTGGTAATGTGGCACTGTATATGCGTATTTCACAATATTTTTTGGTAATGTATATGGTCATGATTGATACTATAAATTCATTTTAACTCTTATTTCGAAAATAAAAACATGTCACTCCTATTTTTGTATATTTTAATGCTTACTCATACTTTAACCTTTTTCTCAATAAAAATGGTAATATTAAATGTCCCTGAAATTAATGTAGTGTACATTTTTTTATTATATTGTTATGATATAAAAACGAAATAGAAAAATAAAAGGTGAAACCAAAAACAAGAAACTGATTAAACGAAAAAAGAAAATAGGCATACAAAAGAAAAAGAAAAATAATAAAAATATGAAATATAAAAGAAAGTAAAAAGTAATTTTATTTTTACTATAAAGAAATTAATTTGATCAGACATAGGTAAATATTAAATAAAAATACTCCATAATTATGTAATCATTGAAATAGAAGTAAGGCTCTACGTATGTTAAGTAAGTGAAAAGCTGAGTGTAGTCAACACTGATATGACAACATGATGCTGAGTTAGTGACAATTGATTTAGAGTTAGTGATAATGAATAACTACGGATAGCCTAAAGGAGAGTCACCATGATTCGTTCGACCACGAGGTTTTTGGCGTATTTGGTTAATGATATACTTGTGCATAAACTTAACGTTTTAGTCTTTCTGATCAATGTCTTTTTTTGTACTCTTTTCGTAGAGTCAAATTTTATATATTTTGTTTGTCTATTTTTGTTACTTATTTAATACAATTTTATAGTCATCTTATCTCTAGTTTTGTAAATATTTTGATGTTATTTTTAACTGCTCCCTTCGTCCGCATTTTGATTATAATTTTTTTCTCTTCTCGATAACTTTTGTTTATTTACGCGATTTCATTAAGTATTTGATAAAATGAAATATATTTTTTTTTGAAATTAAAATGAAATATTCTTATCAACTCTTGTTTTGTAGAACTTTTGACGTAGTTTTTTAATATTCAATTTTTATTTCTTATTTATATACCAATTTGTAAACAAAAGGGAAATGCTTGGTTCACAAACTCAATGGTCACAAACTTCACAAACTTGCTATTTGTGAAGTTCAATGAAAAAAATTAAATGGTCTAAAATGATTTTAAAATGAAATTTTAAACTATAAATAGAAATTTTGTGAAGTTTGTGAGTATTCTGTTTGTGAACATAGCATTGCCCTAAACAAAATGATTTCAAAAAGTAAGATATTTTTTCTCGTAAACCACAATTTGTAGTCAAATTGGGACCCCACTTTATAATTAAATTGAGGACGGAGGATGTATATATTATTTTTTTCAATTTTACATTTACAATTAAATAAAATTGAATTGAAAATAAAGTCGATCAAGTTTCGTAACGCGTAATCGAAAAACTAACTTGGACGGAAAGAATAAAAAAATGATTTTTGATAAAATAATTATAGGTAGTATTTTGGAACTAATATTTCATTTCAAATCATGCATTTTAATTTCAAAATTTGAGTTCTTGAATTTCAGATGTCAAGATAGGGTGTATGAATTTCAAATGAAGGCTTGTTATAAATCAATGGAATTTGACTCAAATCCAAATTCAAATTTTTTAAATATTTCAAACATGAATAATGAATTCAAGAATAAGTAAATTTTTTATTAATTTCTAAACTGTAATCTTCCATTCGAACCCGACCCTAATACCCGATCAAGACTTACGATTCAAACAAAACTAGACTCGACTGGTTTCGGGTACCATCGACCACCCGACCCATTGAGAGCATTCAGTAATGGGCGTGCGACTGAGGAGATAAGGGTTTATCCTCGCTCCCAGTATCCAAGCGAAATCTCCATTAATTCTGAAAATGGAGCCAATCAACGGCGAGCCGGAGGCGCAGCAATCCGACGTCGTTCCTCCGTCTGCTACATCCTACCTCGACCCAAACTACTGGTGAGTTTCTTCAACTCACAAATACCCAATTTCACTCGCCTCCTTCCTTCTGCAAACTCTGCACATTGCAATTTGTGGTTTCTTTATCTTCTTCTTCTTTTTTGTTTCCAGGGACAAAAGATTTGCTCGAGAAGATCACTACGAATGGTTTAAAGATTACTCCCATTTTCGCCATCTCGTTCTTGCACACATCCAGCCGCGTTCTTCTGTATCCCTTCATATTCCCTCTCGTTTTCTTTTTCTTGTTTTCCGGACATTCTTTATTTTAAAGATTTGATTTTTAGCCATCTCCTGGATTTTCATGATCAGGTGTTGGAGCTGGGATGTGGGAATTCCCAGATGTGTGAGGAACTGTACAGAGATGGTGTGAGTAAACTCACCTGCATTGACTTATCCCCCATTGCTGTGGAGAAGATGAAGAACAGATTACTATCCAAGGGCTTTAAAGGTGAGAACATATTAACCTGGTAAATTCCACACATGATCCTCCATATTTTGGGAGATTTCACATTTGGTCTGCTACTTTTATGAAATTCCATTGGAGACCCACTTTAATTGTGAGCATTGCCAATTTTAGAGGACCGTTTGTGAAATTTACTCTTGATATGATGGTTACTTTGTTACTTGTTGAATGGATGAATTCACAGCGTATTTGGTAGTACGTTTTTTTCTTGATTTTAGGAGTTACCACCAGGTTTTTCCACCTAAAATTACTTAGTGTGTCTAGCAGTTAGTAGATAGTAATGAAAAGAGTAGATAAGAAGTTACTTTTATTTTTAGAAAATTATTTGTTACTCACTCCGTTTGAAAACGTTCTTCTTAGTTACTATTCATACGGTCATACTTTAATCACTTTCTTTAACTATTTTCGTTAGTTATTTGATAAAATAATATAGTCTTGTCACGTCATGTTTTGTATTCCGTATAACTTTTGAGGTAGTTTTTAAATATATAAATTTTATTTTTCAAATTTACACCTACAATCAAATAAATTGAATTAAAAATGATGTCCGTCATACCTCGTAAACAGAAACGGGAAGAACGTTTTGGGACGGAGGGAGTATGTTTTTGTGGTGAGGTGTTTCATGTCTTTGTCCAACGTGGTATGGTTGATAAAAAAATTGTACAAAAGCGAAGTTCTAACCAGTTCTGTTTCGAATCCCGTCCAGAAATTAAGGTGCTTGAAGCAGACATGCTTGATCTGCCATTTGAGGATCAATGTTTTGATGTTGTTGTAGAGAAAGGAACAATGGTTAGACTTCATCATTCTTTCAACCTATGTGTGTGTGTGTACACACACACAGATATATACATTGTGGTTCTTTTGAAACTCATCACGGGCGTCAAAAAATGACGCTCATGTCATTTAAGGGCCCTACGGTGCTCCATTTGATTCCAAAGTGATTCCTACCCCCACGAACCTTGTGGGCCTGCCNGGGGGTAGGGGCAAGATGGGTTACTGGGTTTGAGTGATAGGAACCACTTCCGTCAAACAAAGCACTGTAAGGCCTTCAAACTGCCTGATGTCATATTATGACACCAGCCCTTAGCGCCAAAAGAACCTAGCTCATATATATGTATATGGGCCATTTTGAATTTGAAGGACGTGTTGTTCGTGGACAGCGGTGACCCCTGGAATCCTCACCCCGTAACTACAGAGAGAGTGATAAAAATGCTCAAAGAAGTTCATAGAGTTCTGAAACACAATGGCATCTTCATCTCCATTGCTTTTGGCCAGGTTAAGGCCCCGTTTAGTACCTTATTTTACTTATAAGCACAATACGTAACTTTTAATTTACTCGTATGCTTGAAACGGGTGTTACTTATCAAACGCTTTACAAGACTTGGTTATTCTGCACATTCAGTCTTCTTAGACAAATAACCATTACCGAACGGGGTTCTAAATTATCTAACTTGTAAACTTATTTTTTTTGCAGCCCCATTTTAGGCGTCGCTTCTTCAACGACCCAGAGTTTACTTGGTCCGTTGAGTGGAATACATTTGGAGAAACGTTTCACTATTTCTTCTATGTCTTGAAAAAGGTTACTCTACAACTAAATCGATAGAATTATGTCTTCTTTTGAAGCTTTGCTTGCAAACAACCTCTCTACTATCAATTAGTGCTTTCATCGATCCAAATTCTATATTCGCAGGGAAATCGGTCATTGGAGAGCTATGAAGTGTTGGAGCCAAGCGCGAATCCATCTAAATCTCTATTTCAAGAGGAGCTCGACGTTGAAGACTACTTATTTAGAATCAACACTGATGAAATGTAGTGGCTGAAGTCGAACTTTTTTTTTCCTTTTCTAACCTTTTTGCTCCTCGCCAGGGTGGAAACAATCTCTCTCTTTCAAAGTAGGGATAAGATATTCATACAGACACCTACTACTGGGCAACTGGTTTTGTTGTTGTAACCTTTTTACACTTGTGTTGATCACTAGAATATGAAATTCATTGTATGTTTTTATTTTTAGAAGTTAATTAAGTGGTTTATAATGTTTTTTTTTAATTTTTTGTATTAATTTCAAGTTCATAATTATTTTCACTTTTTTTAACCTTCGTGTTCATTCAAAGTGACCTAGTAGATTGTGATAGAGGAATAATTAAATTAAACAAAAGACGATAAACATACATAAGAGATCGTTAAAAAAAACTTTGTTTATTGCATTTGTTTATATAATGTTTTTCTATCTTCACATCTATATCTATATATATACAATGATAGGAGCCATAAATGAACAGTGTTCCCGCCCAATTTGTTGGGCCGGGTTATTGTTTAATGGGCTGGGTTTAAAATGTGGGCTGAGGCCTATTACTGCTGCTGTCCCTATTATTGGTGAACTATATGCGGAGTAAAAAGAAAAAAATTCCAGCCAGCGTATCATGTACGCTTCTTCGCCAGAGTATTCCGTAAGCTTCGTAATCTCTTCCCTATCGAGATCTACGCCAGCTTCGATCTCATGTGCTCTATAGGTTTTTCTTATCGGAAGCTACACCTTATCTTCGATTCTAGCGACTAGGGTTTTGACCCTTCTTCCGCCATGGACAACAGGGATTCGAACGGAGGAGACGACAACGCCGGCTAACCTTCTACCCTAGGCTGGCTGGATTCTGGCGGCACGGAGGAGCTTTGCCTGCAAAAGTGCAAATTGCATCTACAATGCATCAAATCGTGCAATAGATATATCAAAATAGCTGCTCCAATGCTCCTTCCATTAGAATTCGATCGGAAGAGGTATGCGATGAAAGAGAAGTCAAGAGCTCAACTATATGAGTTTCTGTGATGGAATATTTTTTGCAAATCTTTTTTTATGCGGCATCAGTTGCATAATCTTTTATATTCTGCAGCTTCAAACATTCAATTGCAAATTTTTGGGCTAGGTTAGTATTTAGATCTTAGATATTGTGCAGAAAATTTTTTGGCTGAAGCATGGGTGTACGGTATATAGACAAGCATGGGTAAGAGAATCTCTATTTCAATATCCCACTTTCTTCATCTCCATTTAAAGCAATGTCAATTTAGATGCTCTTTTTTTGTCTAAGGCAATTAAATTAAAATAGTAATTTAAATTCCATTAGGGTTGTAGTATTGAATGTTTCACTGGTAACAGCTTAGACCAGTGGTCTTTATTCTCAAGAGTAGTCTTTATTGTATTATGAACTTTTTCTCGGATAGCATGTTTAATCTATCACAGAGACGATATTTATAGCAAAATTGGTTGGAAATGCTATTTGGAAGGAAAGCTACATGAGTTGCTGGTCTAAAATTAGTTCCAGGTATTTTGTTTCTTATTTTTTGAGATCTTAAAATTGTTGAAATTTGTTTTCAAATTATTCATGATTTACTTTTATGTTTGGATTTGATTGAATTATTTGAAACTTTTGTAGGATAGTTTGGCTATTCTTTTGTAGGGTGGCAGAGAGCTCATTCAAAAAAGAAATGATACAAAAATTAAAATACCATTTCTTTTTCATTTCATGACTAAATATAATTTGTTACCTTATGTGTTTGATGAAATTCCTCAACGAAGCTTCTAGGAGTGGGAGAAGCGTGAGTTTTTATTCTTTTTACATTAAATAAAGATGTGAATTTTTCCTTTACTTCCGTTTCTTTTGAGATTATTTTCTCTGATTTTACTCAAAGATTCATCTATTTATCATTCATCATAATTATGTTGGGATTTTTTTGTTTACGAGATGTTTGAAAAATGCTAGAAACCAATATCAACTATAGCAGCTGAAATGTTTTATGTCAGCGATATGGCAGCTAGAACATCGTGCAATTCCATCCGCAATAACTTCAGATTAGCTTCCCAGTTAATATTGTCTTTTGGAGATGCAGGCCGATTTATATCCTGGAGATGGTCGGTATAAAATTTTTCGTCTAATATTAGTTGAACCCAAACTTATTCTCGCCTAATATTGCTGAGTGGAACTTGAGAAGAGTGATGAGCCTTTTTCGTGGAGTTTTATTTGAGTGAAATGCACAGTTTCATATATAGTGTGGTAATGTGCTTATTTGTATGAATTACCAAAACATGTACTAATTTTAAATGAAATAATTAAATAAATATGATTTGAGTAAGTTTTTTTACTAAACAATTAGTTTCTACATTACGCAATTATTGAAATTAGATTCTACAAGATCATATATAAAACTTTAACCTATTAGTCTTAAATTAAGAAATAAAAGGAAATTAAAGATTTTGGGAGGATTGGGTTGTGAAAATCCATAGAGTATTAAAACTCATAGATTTTTGAATACCTCAAAATTTTTAAAGACTCTTGAAAATTCGAGTTGAATACTTCAATATTTTTAAAAACTTTGAAAAATCTCTATTGGATACCTTAAGATTTTTAAAGATTTTTGAAAATCCAGATTTAACGCATTCAGATTTTTAAAATCTAAAAAAATCCAACAGACTCTAATTTCAATGCACCCCCTTAAGCTTTGTTTATTTTTTTCATTCCATTCAAGTTATTCTTATATTTAATTATATTATAGCAAAAACAATTCCCAATTAGAATCTATAAGGTGTCTGAAATATATAAAATATTTATTTTATAAATTTTCATAATTATTAATTTTTAAATAAATCATTGTTCGTGCATCTACGGGCCTTGCTGTACAATACTTTATTTTGGGCAATTTTAATAAAATTTGTTATCTTTTGATTTTTGTATCATTTTATGTTATTCCAAACCAAGATTAAATATAAATAATTTTATAGCCCGTGCATCGCACGGGTACAAGTCTAGTTAATCTCAAAGGCAGTTTTTACTTTGTTAATCTTTGTGCCTAGTCAAAGTGCCAAAGTGCCATGATAAATAATCTCACTTTTTAATGTTTTGGTCTATACGATATATGTATAAAATATAAGAAATATATAAACAAGAATATAGACAATAGACTTTGACGTGAAAACCAAATTGGTGAAAACCACTGGCATTTTTTGGTAGTACCATGCCAACGGGGGTGTTTTATTATAAAGTAAATTTCCAAAATAGTCATTTGTAATAAGATGTTTTTCCAAATTAGTCCTCAATAAATTTTAATTACCTACGTGGTCTTCTATAATTGAGATTTGTTTCCAAGATGGTCCTTCGTAAATAATGTTACTCAAATGAGGATTAATTGAAGGTATTTTGTTATTTTTAATCCGCTAAATTTAGAATTAATTCTTAAAATGATCATTTATAAAGAAGTGTTTTCCCAAAATGGTTTTTTCTAATTAAAGCTAGAGAAATTTGATTTGATTTGAAATTTAAAAAGTATGTATTATCCATGTTTTAAAAAACAATAAGTTGGAAACAATTAAATGCTAGAGAAACATGCATAATAGATTGTGTTAAAAAATCATTGAAATTTATAATGATTGATCATTTGAAAATATTTTTTTTCAAAGTCAAAAAAATTAAATATGTATCACCATACGCTAGAGGAAGGGGTTGAACCTTCGACCTTGTGGTTAACAGCCACACGCTCTAACCAACTGAGCTACTCCAGCAAGTTTTCTGATTGCTTGCCTTTTAAATATTAAGATTAAGCCAATTAAAAAAAACGTAAACAGATAAACTATATGTACTTAAATAGATTAAGAATGTATAAAGAGATACTAAATTATAATAGAGTTATCAATGTTAAAAAGATTATATGTGTTCCAAACAATATCATTATATTTTTTTACTATTTGAGTTGTTGAACTTTTAAAACATATTCCGTAATATTTTTAAGGATAATTTACCTAAATAGGACTAAAACATAATGACTTTCTCAATATAGGATCATATGTTTTTATTTTTCAATGTAGGACTATTGGTCATAATCTATTAGTCATTATTGAACTAAATGTTCAGCATTACTTGGACATTATTTTTCTCACTAGTCATTATTAAGTCATATTTAGAAAATAAAAAAGTTTAAGTCCTACATTAGAAAATGACTTATGTTTTAGTCCTATTCAGTGCAAATTTCTCAATTTTTAAATATATGTCATTATATTATGCTCCCCAAATAACACTATTCATCACTCACAAATCAAACCTTATCGTCTTTATTTGTGAATTTTTATTAATCATTTGACAAAATAAGATAGTCACATTACTTTTTATAGTGTATAATTTTTCTATAATTTTTAAAATAAGAGTATATTTTTTATTTACACGAATTCTAGAGATTTTTTTTGAAATTTTGAATTCACTACTTGGAAACTTTATTATCTTGATGTTTTGGTCTGAAAATTTTTATTAAAGTTCTTTTCAATTCAGTTTATTTAATTATTATCATAAAAATTTAAAATAAAGTTTGTTTATATGAAAATTATATCAAAGATTCCATAGAATAAAAAAACACATGATTAATGTATTTTAACAAGTGATCAATGAAAATAAATTTGGAACAAAGAAAATATTGTTTTGTAATGTGATTGTAAACAAAATGGTGCAAAACAGACTTAAAGTGATAATCTAATGTCAAGCACATGAGGCAAAGTTTTCCTGAAGTTGACCATTACAATACTCTCTCCAATCAATTGGAATTTGCACAAAATTGCATCAATTTGAAGGCAAATGTTAAAAAACTAAAACTATGAAGAGGCTAATAAGTAATTACAAATCAGTTGCATAAATTCAAAATTGAGGGATTGTCCCATGCTTTCTTTAGCCAATCTTTTGCTACAATTACCACAACATTTTTATTTCAAGAATATGGCACAACCAAAAAACTTAATGTGTCTTCAAGAGCCATTATCTGTCTGATTTTCCGTCCTCGTCTTCAACCAAAAACTTGAGCTTTTTAACTGACTTGGTCCTTTGACGTATATCATCAAGAATTTGAATCATATTTTCAAAAAGAATTATAATTATGAAGTGTATTAAATAAAAAAGAAGAATATTTCTGCAGTTTTCCTGTGAGTTCATCTTGTTTCAATTGCAATCCTTTGTATATTAGACTGATCCAAGCTTTCTTGCTTCTCCACTGCCCCACCCCAATATCTCAC